AATTTATATTTGTAATGGTTCATTTTGATTTAATAAATAAACGACACCAACCTGATTGAGGGAAAAAAAAAAAAAAATAATAATAATAAATATTATAACATTTTTCAAATATATTGAAAACAGTACTTCTTTATTAAAGACAGTAGACTTTTCTTAGTAAAAACTTATTTTTGAGTACTTAAACTAATAGGCCCAAACTCTCTACTATTTTCAATCCAAAAATTATAATTAGTTTCTTTCTTCAAAAGATCAGTGAAAGATAATCATATCATATCAGTTATTAGATTACTGATATAAATAGAACTATAGCTATTAATCTTAACTAGTATAGCAGAATATATAGCAAGAAGCATGTTAACCTATTTAAATAACTTTGAAAAGAATTATTATATTGCATCAATATATAAAGACTGCCTTGGCTATTTTAAAAAAATTGCATCATGCTTGATATTTGTACTCCTAGATTTGACAGCTTAAGCCAATCAAGAGTCTATAGAGTATCTGCTAGAAAATTTAAGAGTTATGTCCTACTTGGTCTATGGTCTCCAGATTTGGTAATGTGTACTAACTATAGAAACAATTCTTGAAGTATTTACTAGAAAATATAAAGCAGTAAGTCCAAATATATTATACTTATATTAACTAATAGTAGAATATAAAAAAAACCCCAATAACAATTAATATGTTAAATTATTATCGAATCTTATTAAAAATCAAAAACACAAGATTAGATATTTTAAAACTAGAGACAGAATTTTCATCTTCTTAATGCTTCCCACCTTGTATATGCATTTATCCATATAGTATAGTTGGTATTATAGGATAAAAATACAATAAGCTAATATTAACTTAAATAATGTTTAATGTAATAATAGTACTAATATTTAATAAATAAAGTCTTGCATTTTATACTTATTCATATTTAAAAAAAATAATAATAAATAATAGATATTATTAATTAAATTAAAAAATTATTAAACTTTTTATAAACTTAATATTATAAAAAAACTATATTACAGATTATTTAATTATAATAACATTTATTTTTTTATATATTTTAAAAATCTAATAATAAAACTTGATTGTTTTTTAATAATAATTTTAAATTGATTTTTATATTTGCTTAATATTAGCTTTAATATTGTTGTAGGGAAAAATGATGGGTAGATGATAGGAAATTATAAGGGTAAGTATATCAAGTATAAATGGTATATCATATATAAGTAGTATATCAGGTATAATAGGTATAATAGGTATAAAGTAAAAATGTATATAAGTGACCTGAGAATGGTCAAAAAGTAAAAACAACCAGAATAGGTACTGCACAACTGTTAAATAAAAACCATCTTTATTTGATAAACTATTGCCTTGTGATTGATCCCAGTGTCGCGTAGCTAACGGAATTGTTGCGCGTGAAGTAACCATTAAGGATGCAAGATCGACAGACTGATCTGCATCAGCGTTATGAACTCTGGCCAAATTCACATGCCTCTTTTGAGCAGAAACCGCCCGATCGTTACATGGCGTGAGACAGATCGAAGTGACTGACTCGCCGTGATTTCATTACAACATTTTTGGTGGTGACTGTGAGATAAAACACTATCAATGACACTCGTTACCCCCGATATTTTCTCGCGAACACTTTACATACTATCATTAGTGTGCAAAAAACTTATTTCGAACACGCAACACTTCCGACCTCAAGTAAACACAACGCAATACTCCCACACTTGTTACGACCGGAAATTTTAGTTATTTATTTTTTTGTTTTTGTTTATTCGTAGTAAAGTTATATTAAAAATTTCCTTTTTTATATAAAAAAAAAAAAAAAACGACAAAAAACGAAATGAAGTAAAATAAATGCCAAAGGAATAAGCATAACATATACTTGCCAAGATGAACAATGACCAATTTCAACAGTTGATGAAAGATATTTTCCAGTCAATAGACGGTATTGCCAAACAGAACAGCGCGAGGAGAGCTGATCATGTAAGAGCGAAAACATTCGCCGGAATCGAGGACGACGACCTGGTAGAATGGTTGGAGAAATTTGAGCAAATGGCAGGAGTTAATGACTGGAATGACAACAAAAAGCTCAGGGTGGCCTCTAGATATATGGTGGGATTAGCCGCCGACTGGTGCAAGGAAAATGTGGATAAGATCAAGAAATAGAATGATACGGATCAGATGTAGAGTTTCCATCACATGTTGATAAAACATTTTGCCACGTCAGAAAAATGCCATAAGTGGCAGAAAGAATTGAATGAACTAAGTCAACGAGCTGACGAGAAAGTAGACAACTATGCAGTATAGTTTAAGCGCTTACTGACAAGGGTGGATCCGGAGGAGACGATTCCTAATGACTACGTGGTAAGAATGTTTTTAAACGGACTAAAAGGTAATACAGCGACATTTTTTAATATGACATCTCCAAAGAACTTGAACGAAGCGATCTCAGCAGCACGAAAGGCCGAGGCAGGGAACTATTATGGTTGGCAAACTGCGAAGGAAGACAAGGACGTGACAAAGAGGTTGGAAGACGAGATGGGAAAAATCGGGAAACAATTAAAAGAACTATGTGGACTTGAGGAGAACGCCGTGAAGGAAACCGAGAGGGAAAGAAAGGAAGACTGTGATCTGTTACGACTGTGGAAAGGAAGGGCACATAACTCGATGGTGCCCAGAGAAGAAGACGCCAAGGGAAGCCCGGAAGACAACAAGTTCTAAGGTGCAGTATATCTACGAAGAAAGAGAAGAGAGTGAGAAAGATGATGTAGAGGAAGAGAAGGCTTACGCGTTAGGAGACGTCTTGCAAGTTGTAAAAAAGAGAGGAAGACCGCCCCACCAAGACGAAGAAAGTATGGGTGAGCCCTCAAAAGCAACAAAACTTATAAGGGTACAGGAACCAATGGTAATCATGGAATCCCCCGAAGCAACTGGTGTCAAAAAAAAACCAAGACGAAAGAGGCTGCCTTCAGTTGTAAATTTCCTGGAACCATATGACATCTCGGAAGACATCTTATCGATGAGAGCGAATGTCATGTATGCACAGTTATTGAAATACTCCGATTAAAGACGGAACCTCTCGAAGATAATGAAGAGAGCTACACAGCCAGAAGAGACCAATCAGATGAGCACAGCGGATACTTTGAGGACGACTGCTGCCAAATGTTATGTATGAGTGGGAGATAAAACGGTAGTAGCCGTCCTGGACACAGGAGCGGCAGTGAGTATAATCACAAAAAAATTAGCAGATAAGCTTCGTTTGACGATTAATGAGAAATCTACTTCGGTTGTTGTTACAGTGAATAGTACGAGGGAGAGGACTTTAGGAAAGGTGAAGGATGTGGGCATAACAATCCAAGAAGTAACTATTCCCGTGAGACTACGAGTCATCGAGTCACGAGACGAAACACTCTTGCTGAGGACTGATTGGTTCCAGAAGGCGAAAGCATGAATCCATTTTGATGAACAAAGAATATTTTTAAAATACCAAGGGAAAGAGCTAGAGGTACCCATCTCGCACAATGGCATTGAAGGGTTAGTATGACCAGATGAATCGGAGTCGAGCAACTACGAGAGTGGAGGTACGTATGGTAAATTTGAGTATGAAAGCGAGGAAGTGGAAGAAGAAGAAGGCTACTATACTGGGGAGCGATCAGGAATAGGAACCACCACTCAAGAGAGTGTGGCAGAAGAAATCACTGGTCGGGAAGAAGCACCCCCATCAGAAGTGGAAACTGAGGAAATGGAGATCCCTAGCCCCACTATATACTTAACCGTCCTGGAGGAAGTACTGACGCCGGAAGAAGAGGAGTCTGTCATTGGAGAACCAAGAATGGACATGGACAACCTAAAAAAGAAAGAATGAGGAGAAGTAGCGAAACTCTTCGAGACGGAGAAAGAACTATTCGTGGGAAGTTTGGAGGAACTAACTCAGACCGGCGTGATCCAGCACGAAATAGATACCGGTGACGCGAAACCTATAAAGCAAGCCCCCTATAGGATGGCACCCGACGAACATGACTACATAAAGGACGAACTTACAAAAAAGAAGAAGCAGGGACTTGTCGTGGAATCTAGAAGCCTGTGGACTTCCCCAATCGTGATAGTGCCAAAGAAGAATGGTAAGCGACATCTATATGTAGATTACAGAAAATTAAACGCAGTGACGAAAAAGGATGCTTATCCCCTACCAAGGATCGATGACTTGATCAAAGCTCTTGAAAAAGCAACGTGGTTCTCGAATCTCGATTTAGCCAGTAGATACTGGCAAGTTTGAGTTCATGAAAAGAATCGCGAAAAGACAGCCTTCGTAACTAAATTTGGAACATATGAGTTTCAGGTGATGCTGTTTGGGTTATGTAATGCCCCGGCTACGTTCCAAAGGCTGATGAACCGAGTGCTATACGACTACATCGGAAAATTTGTAGCCATTTATTTGGACGAAATTATTGTGTATTCGCTGATGTTTCCAGAACATATCAGTTATTTGACCTATATTTTCAGAGAGTTGAGGCAGGCTTCGCTGAAGCTGAATGCAGAAAAATGCAAGTTCTTTTTACCAGAGGTAGAATTTTGAAGGCATGTAGTAGGAATGGATGGCATCCAGCCAGACGAAAATAAAATCATAAAAGTGAGAAACTTTTCAGCCCCAGGAAGTGTGAGACAGCTGCGAAGCTTTATTGGTCTTGCCTCGTACTACAGGAAGTTTATTTGTGGGTTCGCTACAATCGCCAAGCCCCTACATTAACTGTTGAAAAAGAATGCAATATATGAGTGGGGAGACAAACAACAGATGACATTTGAATTACTAAAAATATACCTGACAACAGCCCCGATTCTGTGGTACCCGGATTTCGAGAGGACATTTTATTTACACACCAACGCATCCGGGACAGGACTGGAAGCCGTGTTAACGCAGATCGATGAGGCAAAAAGGGAATATGTGATCGCACATGCCAGTAGGAGTTTGTCAAAAGCTGAGTGAAATTATGCAACAACGGAGTAGGAATGCTTAGCGGTAATATGGGAAGTTGAGTACTTCCACCATTATCTGGATATGAAGCTGTTCATAGTAGTCACCGACCACGCTGCATTAAGATGGCTGGAGAATTCAAAACTGAAAGGTAAAAGGGCACGATGGATCCTCTGCCTCCAACCATATAACTATACAATACTACACCGTGCTGAAAGAAAACATTCAAATGCTGATGTCCTATCACATTTACCTAAGAGGAAAGGGGAAAGTAGTGCTAGCAATGGAAAACCCGACCACACTGAACGAACGAAAGATCCACTCTATCAATACAACAACTTAGATGACAATTCCTACCTACTAACTCGTAACATCTGATGCAAAGCAATAGCAAAACAATAACCATACGACAGTAACGACACAATATAAATAGCAACCACTAAAACAGTAATAGAAAAAAAAAATACTAACCTTAAAAATCCATTAAACAAAATTCAGCCCAGGTTCCAGTGTCCTGGCGAAAAAGAATTGACTAACTAGCAAATAAACACTAAAGAGAAAATAGACACCTAAGATTCATACAAATAATGGAAGAGGAATGATATAGACAGTTGAAGAACTATCTGCAAGAACGGCAGTTACTCAAGAATTGCTCGCAACAACAGAAAAGACGGATACAGGTACAGAGCAATTTCTTTGTCACAAAAGAAGGATCTATCTATAAAAAGGACAAGCATAAGCAAGGAAATTTACTAAGGATATTAAGACGCCACGAACTAGGATCGATACTATACCTGGCACATAACCATCCGCTCAGCGGACATTTAGGGAAAGATGTAATGTTTTATAAAATTAGGAGTTTGTATTACTGGCCGCAGTTGTATGAGAACATTCGGACGTACGTACGCTTCTGCGACCAATGTCAAAGAAGAGAAAAGAATAGGCAACGTGAACCTCTACACTCTATACCTATCGGAAAGCTCTTCTGGAAAGTGGGATTGATATCATGGGATCCTTACCCATTACCTCCAGGAAGAATCAATATATAGTAGTTGCTACAGACTACATAACGAAATAGCAGGAGGCTCGAGCCCTAAAAGAAGTGACGGCACAGAAGATTGCAGAGTTTGTCTACGACGATTTGGTATGCCGACATGGTTGTCCAACTTACCTGTTATCTGATCAAGGAGCAAATTTTAGAAGTCGAATGTTGAACGCATTTTTGGAGAAATTTCATATCAACCATTTATACTCTACATCATACCACCCACAGACGAATGGGTTAGTAGAGCGGTATAATTGCATATTGTGTGAATCCATCGTGAAGCTGGTGAATAATGTAACCAATTGGGATTTAATGATACCTTCTGCTCTGTTCACATATCAAACGGCACAACAGGAGACAACTAAGATGACACCATTTTACCTTGTGTATGGAAGGGAAGTATAAACCCTGATCCACCCTACAGAAACAGATGAGTTATTAGAGGGAACAATACTCCAACGAGTTTTTGACCTAATGAAATATTGCCACAGCAACGGGAGAACACGGTGGCACGAGTGAATGCCGCTCAGCAAAAACGGGAGAACACGGTGGCACGAGTGAATGCCGCTCAGCAAAAACTAAAAATGCAACATGATCAGAGGCTACAGAACAAGAAAAGTTTTAGCATTGGGAACAAGGTATTAATGTATAAGGTGTACCAAGAAAACTCACGGAGTAGTAAACTAGACCCAAAATGGGTAGGGCCATTTTATGTGCATGAGCTCAAATCGGATGCCGTATATCGATTACGTACAACGGATGGAAAAGTGCTAAAGAAACCAATCAACCAACAGCTGTTAAAAAAATACGAAGAGCCGATAGAGTATTAGTAATAATAAGTTTGATGCCATAAGCCGATTACATCACTATAGGGACGAAACATATGGAGTATAAGTGAGAATAAATAAAAAGGGAGGAGAGAGAAAAAATAAACGCAATGGATATCGACCTTACCTTAATCACCACGAATTTACTAACAATGGGGCCTAATAATGAGGATACTTTATCACGACCCTATATAGAGAGTCAAGATATAACGACAGACATATCGATCTTGTATAGTCAGATAAAAAGGGCACAGCAATTAAGACAACAGATAGACGTGCTTGTATATGCCTTCTATATTGGTAAAATCATTACAAACATGATTGAATCGCCACAAGAAAAAGTGCCACGAAAGATACTATCACGACATTATCGGACTGGATGTATGCGCATCTTCCGCCTGTTCGAAAAACAAGGTGTTGATCAAATATATTGGATGTCGTACATAACAATCAGCATGATTAAGACCATGCATGCCGATACTTACCGAAACTTAGTGATAGCTCGTAGTACTCGCGAGCAAGGAGGGGAAGGAAAATTGTGAAAAAAAAAAAATGGAACGGATGGATGAGAAAGTGGGATAAAAAGAAAAATAGAATAGTGTTAGTTTAAGTATAGTTTAGAATTTATTCAATGATGACATTAGATTAGCTTATCATGTTTAGTTTTGACTTTTAATTTCTACTTCGATCAATCAATTATCAATTATTCCCCTTTATCTTTATCCGATTGATCAGTACTTTTATTCTTCTATTTTTACTTTATTTTAAAAGAAGCGAAAAAAAAAAAATCGGAAAAATTGGAGAAAATTTTTAAGCAAAAAAAGGGAATATTTTATTTTCATTTTTTTATTATTAGTATAGTGGTTATTATTTTTGAAATTAAAACAAATAGTTGAAAATACCTACCATCTTTTTGATTTTTTTTATTTCTTGTGGTTTATGTGAATGAATAATATTGGATCCAGATATAGCTATAGACGACCTTGGTTCCTAGAGATAGGAATCCATAGCATATGCCGGTTAAGGGCTGGTTAGCCATAGCACCCTAGGTAATATTATCTTTGGAGCAGATTGGTGTTTGAGGCTATAGTATTCAAATTATATAATTTATATAAACAATTTTTGAACAACTATTGGATGGGTTTTATTATTTTACTTTTATTTTTATTTTTATTTTTATTTCTTTATTAATATTATCCCTTATAATTACATGAATAATTTCTTATTTTTACATTATTTTTGAAATATTGGGAAAAGGAGGGTATCCTTTAGCTACTGTATGGATTACAGTACCCAGGCTATATGATATGGACATAGATACCATGATAGCCCAGTTCTCAACTTGCCCAAACACAAGCATCATTGAACCCTTGAATAGAAGAAGGAATCTAAAAAGTACTAAGAAAAACAAGCAAGAAATGCAATGTAATGGAAGTGGCCCACAGAGCAACTTCCTACCCATTACAGCCAGCCCACAAAGCATACTCAGCGACTACTGCATTTCCCATTATGAATCCACAAATGATAAAAGAGAAAAAAACTTGAAACCAGTAGGGAAAAAAGCAAACCTCTAATTAAGCTCAAAGGTGGAAAAGGACCTATCAAAAGGAGCTGGAGCTGGAGCTGGAGTTCCTAATAGTTAAAGCAGTCCTTCTAATCGAGCCACCCTATTTTTCAAGTTTAAATTTTCCAACTCCAACTCCCTATTACGACAGTGAAGGGAGCGAGCGTCGGAAAGTATTTCCAAGTCTGCTTTTAACTTGGTGACTTCTTTTTCCAAGGTTTTGGACCTTTCTTTACGACATGCCAAACGTTCCAAAATTTTAATTCTTTCCTGAAGTATTATTATGGTTTCCCAGGAAGGGTCTTTGCGACCGGAGTGAGTAAGACGAATAGCTTTGGAGATGTGGTTTTCCCTAGGCATAATTTCAACAATGAAAAGAATGAAAAAGTTGAAAGGATTAGTACTAAAACTATTGGTTTAAATAGCAATAATTCTTATTGTAGATAATACAAAAGTA